AACTGACCAATTTGTTCATGGAGCAACAACCCTATTTTTTAAAAAGCAAAGTTTGGTTCTGTCATACGCCATTTTTTGAGTAAATCCCATGGAAATCAGCATATAGAAAAAGATTACATTATGCATGAAAACCCATGTTGGTTTCTCAAGAAAAAAATAACCGAGTGGGATACTAGAGTCCTCCACAAGATTTTTTTTGGGGGTGGGATTTTACAAAACATGTTGAATTCCAGCACAATATTATTTTCCATGTATTGTTTTATGAGAACCACTTTATAAGCATGGTGGTGTAAGAAATTGCTACATAATAGGAGGTCTAAAGTCTTATTAAATGATTGAATGAGCTCTTGTACTTCCAAACAAACCTGGATCATCAGTCCCCACTGATTTCAGTAGGTCTGAAACCAGATAAACTAATGTACTTCCACTTCAATGATTTGTAGAGAGGGCTGTATGAAAAATTCCCTATACATTTATTTATTTATTTATTTATTTATTTATTTATTTATTTTAATGTGTACATCTGTAAAGACTTTAAGATTATATGCATTTTTTATATTACTTTGGTGGTTTTTACATGCTCAAGACATGGGCAAGAGGAATGTTACAAAACGCTAGAATCTTTAAAGAAGGGATATGAATACACCATGTGCCACCAACTTCTGTGTGCTGTAGAAGTGGCACATCCAGCACCTGTTGCCTTTTTCTAGCTGTGATTGCTCTTGCAATTACATTTCTATGCAGTCCTTTCAACATAGCTTAGGTCAAGCAATGACTCGTTATATGAAGAATTCTTTTGTGGCGCTATGTGATGGAAATGAGGCAGGTACAATAAATGCACTGTTCTTTTTCCACCTTAAAAGAAAAAAAAATCCCTTTATTTATTTATTGCCTCAAACCCAAGGAGGTTTACATCAACATGACCAAAGTAAACTTACAGTAATACTCAAAGTGACAATTCAAAGGCAGTGATACATAAATATCCAAAAAGTTAAAACATCCAGCTTCTCACATAAATGCATGATGTATGACCTGCCATTAAAAACAACCCAGCAGATGAGAAAACACCACCAACCAAATGCTTGGCAGTCAAGGACTGGTGCTGAAAAGAGGACCATGTTTATGAAAGGCAGCATCCCTGAAGAGAACACTCCTTAATTGGGGGCCCACTATTAAGAAGTCCTCTGTCCTATAGCCACTCACTGTACTTTTGCTGGAGGATGGCCACCAATGATTTCCTAAGGGTCCAGACAGGTTTATGCAGAGAGATACGTTCTAGAAGGTATGGGTTTGTCAGCCACGTAAGGCTTCATAAGTCAAATCCAGCACTTTGAATTGTGCCCCCAAATGTATTAGAAGCCAGTGCAGTCATGCCAGGACTGGTGCTATAAGTCTGAACTGCTGGTCCTCATTAGCAATCTGTCTGCAGAATTCTGTATTAGCAGATGTTTCTGGACAGACCCACATATAATACATTGCAGTACTCTAACCAGAAGGTTTCCTGAACAAAGATAATTAAAACTAGGTTGCCCACATGCTGGTTGTGGCCTTTTTAAAGGCACTGTACACTACAGGGACCACTTGGATCACCAATGATAGTGATGGATCCAGGGGTATTCTGCAAGCTGCAACCCTACTCCGTTGGGGGGAGGGCAACTTCACTGAAGACCCCGCTGGGCTCCACACTGCCAAAAATCTGCAGCCACCACCATCCCATCAGCAGATGCTCTGGGGTGACATAGACTTTTTAAAGTCAGGGTGGCTAAATATGGCCCTTCAAATGTTGTTAGACTCCAATCAGTCCATACTCCTAGCATGATGGGATTTGTAGTGCACATCATGTTAGGCACCTCTAATTATATACCTGCTGGGATTGTGGGAGTTGAAGTCCAACAAATCTGGAGGGTCACAGGTTTCCCATTGCTATGTTGTATGTGAATTTACACTGGGGATGGAGGCGAAAAAATTGATTCCGTTTGCATTTAAAGGCAAACTGACCAAATTTGCATGTTCTAAAACAGGAACCAAAACCCAGCCATTCTTCAAAATTTGCACTTCTCCAAATTTTGCAATGCAGTTCTGCAACCAAGTGTACAAACATGAATATACTAGGGTGAATTGTGCATCAACATGCATATACTGATGGAAAGAACGTAAAATTATGCATTATAAGAGAGGAAATTAGTCTGCAAAAATGTGAATATTGGGATAAATTCACACTAAAATGCTGATGAGTTTTCATGGTTTTTTTTAAATGCAAACTGATGTGGAAATGTAGAGCACTGAATTTAAGATTGGGAAAAGGAGAAACAGAGAGAAAACAACATTGAAAGATTTGCCAGACTCAACAGACAGCAAAGCTTAAAACTCCCACCTCTTACGGTTCTTGCTCTGTAACTTATATGGGGGAAATGTAGCAGGAAAGAGGGAATCTGCAGAAATTTGGCAACTTTACTTCAATATACATGGGCTAGGATCCAAAGAGACATTTTCTGGATATTTGTGCTTTTCCAAACAACTTCTCCATATGTGGAGTTCTTCGTCCTTCCCTCCCCCCCCCCAGTCTCCCCCACAAAGCAGTTATGTCAATCAATGGATTAAGAGCAATGTGATGTTAGTGGACATCAGCACCTGGATGCACAATTCAGCCTTTGTTTTATTGCTCTACAGCTAGCTAGCTGAAGAGTTTGTTTCACTAAAATGAATGGGGGTTTTGTGCATCCGGTTGCTAATTTTAAAACCAGACAATCAAAAAATGGGTGGGAGGTGGGGGATTGTTCACAACTACAGAACAACAATATCTATATCAGAAATCAAGCAGGGCACATAAGCCTGTTTATTTACTTATCCATTTAACTCTAGCCTGGTTTCTAAGTTGCACAAAGTAATAATGCTGCTTTATTCCTCACTATTCCTCACAGTACTCCACATCTAGAGCACTGTGTACAGTTTCAGACATCACATTTTAAGGATGTAGACAGCAGCAGGGGTGAGGCCACAATGCTGGCTTCTCAGCAGTAGGAGGTGCAAACCAGAAGCAAGTTCAAGATGGTGGAGATGCATGAGTGGAGCCAATCCAGCATTCCCACTGGTGCATCTGCACAGCCCTGACCTTGCTGATGGCTGACCCTTCCCTTCCTCTCTCCCCATGAACAACAGCAACACTGCTGCTGGGAAGCTAGAACTGCAGTTCCACCCTACTGGGTGAACCACTTCTGGATTGGTAGTTTGGAACAGGTTCACTGGAGGGCAGTGAAGATGTGGAAAACAACTAACCCCAAGGGTGCAATTGAAGTGTTGGGGTGCAAGTCAGGCTGTAGGCTGACATACCTTTATGAGAAGGGTACCGAGAGAGAAACATCTAACCTTCCTAGACTGTCCTAGTTATGCAGACTTATTGATCTTCCTTCAGTGACACCATCAGTGCTGCTGACCTCATTTCCTGCTTCCTCTTCATCCTCACCTTGGAAGAAGAGACACCAAAGCAATCATAGCTCTTTGTATCTCCACCTTAGTTAGACAGAACTAATATCTTTCCTATCAACTATGTATTTTCCTGAATACATTTTCCTGTCTTATTTTCCAAATCCAGAATCTCATTGTGATTATATCCACGGATAAAATGTGCTCCTCCAACTGGGATTCAGTTAAGCTTCCAAGCTGCATGTTAACTCTAAACACCAACAGGGTGCAAATTATAGGAAAGTCAATTTCAGTTGAACATTAGGAGGTGCATCAAGCAGAGGGGTGGAGGGAAGGTAGCCACATGTTTGGCATATGGGTTTCCTACACTGAGTTGGAAGAGATGTCCTGCCCTGCATGCCCCGCTCCAACTCTAGGGTTCTATGTGTTTCTCGCATGCGGGATTCTGTCTTTTAATTAACTAAGCAGAATGTGTATTTGTCCCCCAGGGGCTAAAAAGAAATGCTTGCTGCAGAGAACTGGCTGAGAAGAGGCTCAGACATATGGCTAAATTACCCCTCCAGGACAAGATACATCTTGCCAATGCAAGTCAGGATGCCTCATCCCCACTTGCTAACCTGTGCTTTGGGCCATGGGCTATTAGGCTTCTGGTTACTGCACACTCCTGCTGTCAATGTTTGTGCACACACCACACCCTATTACATTTCCAACTCCTTGAATGATAGAGGCATTCTGAGTGCATCAACATTGTGTTGGGCTGCTCGTTTCCCAGCACACTCTTGGGTGTTATTAAAGGATGCCAAATGTTCTCCTTCACACATTCTGTGGCATTCAAGAGCTGATGCTTTGTTCTCCATCTCCTTGTCTATCAGGATTTGTGAAAACTGCAAAAACAACACTTCACTTGTCGCTTTGCACTTTAGACCGATTTCCCTAGCCGCAACACACAGGTCAATCTGTATTATGAACACTAAACTGCATGCAAACAAAGCATGTATATTGCACATCCTTCCCCCCGCTTGGTTCCTACTGAGCAGCCCTGAATGCCCCAAGATTCAAATGTAAAAGTACACCACATTGTCAGAGTAGCCTTCCCAATATTCCAGCTATTATCTCACAAGGAATGGGGGCTAGAATGTGTGAGCAGAGCAGAGCCCAGTAAGGCTTACATGTTGCATCTTCATCTTAGTGCAGCTAACATCTGCCAAACTGTCAGTGTTCATCAGGCTGAAACTGCATTCCTAAACATCACTAGCAACACAAATACGGTACAGATGATCCTATATTAAAACTTAGAATAAAAGAATCATAGAGTTGGAATGAACCCCAATGGTCATATAGTCCAAACCCCTGCAATGCAAGAATCTCAACACACAGTCCCCCATCCACAGTCCCTCAACCACACTAGACCCTGCTTAGCTTTGCAAACACACTAGCAGTTTTATTGCTGCACAATCTTCCGCATTATGAACTTTCTTGCTTGTTCTGCTAAGTGGGGCCCTGGACATTGGTCCCAAAGTTTAGCCCTGATGGGACCACTGAAAATGTGAAGAAGAACAGAGGGACTTCCTATGGAAAGGGTTGTAGCTCAGTAGTAAAGCATCTGCTGTGCATGCAGAACGTCCCAAGTGCAACCCTTAGCATCTCCAGGAAGAGCTAGGAGAGAGCCCTGTCAGAAATCCTGAGTAAAAAATGTTCCACACCCTTATTCTACGTAAACTGGAATATACACATGAATATAGCTGGTGTACCACTGACAAAGATTTCTGTGATCATGGGAGCTTGAAAAAATGCTACAGACAGAATCCACACAGCCTAATTCACATATTATGTTATGTATACTTGTGCATTCATTAGAAAGGTTGACAGAAAGACTCCCATAGCAGCCAATACTTCTTCTGAAAACAACCTGTACATCAGCTCCCCTTAAAGAGATGGGTAAAAAACCCCACTTCTCCAGATTTACAGTTCAGAGAAGGGGGTGTTTTCATGACCATCTACTATTTCCTGAACTTGGAATACTTGTTGACCTACCACATTTTCCCATTGTGTCTTTCTGTACCCTTTCACTTCCCAACTCAGGTTCTGCTTTCTATGTCCAGCTTTTTTCTCATGAAGTGGAGGAGAAACAGGTTGGTCTCAAAAATCTCTGGATCTGAGCCATCTCTAATGATGTGCTGCAAGAAAGGCAGAATGGGAAGCAGCCTCAGGTGGAACACCCTGAAGATGGCCCTCAGGCTATTCAGACGAATTTGGCGTCATATAATATTAATAGTCAGGAACACTTTGGGACCATTTTTAACAAGACAAGAAAACTATAGATGTAACCACTGCTCACCGTTAGTCATATCGAGATGGGGTAGAGGAGATGGCAAAATATGATCAGGAAAAGAAAAAGTTATTCTTTTACTTTTTGATGCACTCATGGGAAAACCTGCCAAGCCTTCTAAAATGTTCAGTGGTGCAGGTAGGTAGTTTTAGACACTGGGCTGAGGGCAGATCCACACTGCACATTAAAAGGATGTTCAACACACATTTAAAGCACATGACTTACCCCAAAGAATGCTGGGAACTGTCGTTTGTTAAGGTTGCTGGAAATGGCTGTTTTTGTGAAGGGAAAACGACCATACCCAAGATCCTTTGGGGAAGTTATGGGCTTTAAAATGTTGAATATGCTTTAAATGTATAGTGTGGCTCTACCCTGGCTTGATCCCCACCTATTTAAATTGATATGTGAATACTTCAAAATGTGGTATGCCATCCGTGCAGTTTTTGAAGGTCCTTCTGCTCATTCTGTCAAATGGGGTTCTGGTCATTGGCCCTAAAGCATCACAGCAAATACAAATAGCACATTAGGGGAATGTTAGGGTCACTGCAGACAGCATGTTCCACATGGAGGCATATTTGCACAAAGCCCAATGCAATATGGTACCTCCTTTTCCAAGATACTGCTTTATGCATGACCCAATATTCAAGCACACACCATTGTGAGCATGAAACAGAACCAAGAATGAGACTAGTTAGATAGAGAGGAGAAGCTTTGATTCAATATCTTACGTCACATGAGGCAGAAATCAGGCAGCCCTGCATCCCTTTCCTGACTCCTGTAAAACTGCATTGTTGCCATACGCTCCTTGGGAATGGGGAGGGGAGGCAATTTTGTGGTGAGGGCTTGCTCCGTTCATGTTATTGAGTGGTCCAGCACTCACTCACTAGTATGCTTTGGGATGTGTGTGTGAGTCTGTGCATGTTATGTATTCAGTGGTCTGTGTTTGTCTGAGTCTGGATTCAGAATTCTGAGCCTCTGTGTTCTGATTCAAGACATGATATCCAATCACAGAACATTTCAGGATTTGGGCCATTGCCATTGGCCCTTAAACTCTGAGTTATGATTCACAGTGTGGCAATTTAGACAGCCAATCCCACTGAGAATGGGAGTGGCCCAGGCCTTCAGAAATGTATATAAACAGTTGCTTTGCCCCTGTTGCCCAGTTCTGTTAGTTCAATAAAGGTTCTTGCTGTTATCACTGCATCTTGCTTCATGGGAACCCACCTACACTTCAGTGCACACTGCACGTGTACTGCATCTCTGCAAACAGAGGATCCTGTGGAGTCTTGCAATATAGTCCTCCCTCAAAGAGGGCATGTGTTGTGGTGAGACCTAGAGACTGACCTCCTGTGTTGTGGGTGGGTACATTGGACAGCCACAATACCTGATTGGTAGGTCCCTCGTTGCTGGGTTTAATCTGGCCAATGGAGTGCAGTCTAAATGGATTTAGGGACCTAAATATGCCAATGCACGTGACCCAGACCTTCCCCTTTTGGCTTGTGCATCGGAACACCTGCCAACCTCTCCCTATATATAGGGTATTTTGCAATTGACCTTGATATGCCATTGTGTGTTGTCTGTCGTTGGGACAGGTGCACAGCAGGAATTTCCCCCACTCGGCTGATTGGCTGTTGCCATTTGGGTTTCGCCTGACACGTAGCAAATCATCACAACTTGAAAGGTTGTGGATAGGCACTGGTTCAGGTGATAGGGATGGGGAAACGGTCTCGCCATCCCTATGTGAAGGGTATTCCATTAAAGGAATCCAGGGACTCAACTTGGTTTGGTCAACCCCCGAGAGTGGGTGGTGCCCATGCCTGAGTCCAGGGGAGCATCTGGGCAGTGGACATAGTCTATTCCTGGGCTTTTCACCTACCTCAGGAGTTCACCCTTGGCTGACCTATGATAGAGCTCTGGGTCAGTGCTACCTGCAAGGGTGCAGGGAGTTAGTCGAACCAGAGCCTATGCAACCACTCACTTTATTTAATCAATAAAGTTGTGGCTTAAATTCTGCCAAAAACCCAAATTAAAATTTGAGTTAAATGTGTGTTTATTTAGGGGAGAGGTCTCTGGGTCTGAACACGCAAATAGGCCCTTCATACACACTGTGCCCAGTGTAAACAATGGCCATTTCAGTAGGACTTTCTTTATATGCTCCAGAAATATTTGGAGCCATTCTGTAAGGTAGGTCAGTATGATCAAGTCCATGTTACAGATAATAAACATGTATATAATGGATAGAGGATGGGTCAGGTGTGGCTGAGAGGTACTACCTTGCCAAAGACAAGCAAGTGAGAATGCAGGTGAACTGAAATGTGAGAGAACAATTGCCAGCACATAACCACATCAGACCAAACAAGCGAAGGAGCAGGATGATCCTGCATGGATATGCCCGCATGTAAACATCTATTCTCTTAGCAAACTCCCAAGGAAGACTAACTTTATGCATTAGGTGGCATTCAACTCAGTGTTACTCACAGCAGACTTACTGAAATGAATGAATCACTGAGTTATGGTCATTCATTTCAATAGGTCTTCTCTGAGTAAAACTGAGTTGAATACCACCCTTTACGTGCTAGATTAATGTTTCACCAAACTAAGGTACAATTTAACACACATCACCTGCAGTCATGTATTTTAACAATTGCTCAGATTTGGGGTTAATATGCATGATATTCTTTTTTTTACACCACTCATTTTTATAGGTTAAACTCCATTCACTTATAAAATGATATTAAAGGACATTTGCGCTTCCTTTTTAAAAAATGGATATAACACTCTTCTGCATGTCTCTCACAATGTACCATATAGGAGGAGGAATTTAAAATTATTATTAAGTACTAGCTTCTCATTAGGAGAAAAGGAAGGCTTGCCAATATGAAATGGAAACTTTTCCGAGACAAAGCCAAGGTACAATAGTATGCTTTTACATAATGTTTTAATGAAATTCAACCCAGAAAACATTCTTCTCAACAGCCATACCTGCCTAGTCTGGCTCACAGCCAGATACTAACATTCTCATTTTCTTAGCTGAGGTTCTGCAGAACTTGGAAATTAGAGATGATGGTCCAGACATCAATGAGCTACCCAGGAGTTCAGCTCTCTGCTGTGCTACCCAGCAGGAGCCCAGGGCTCTGTAATCCATCTATCCATCTACTTACCTACCGGTTTCCTACGCAAATATAGGGGTGTGTGTGTGTGTATATATATAAAGTCTAGCAGCATTAACCACCTAATCCCTGTACTGGCAGCCTAAAAAATTATTCATGACATACTTCCTATATTGCAGTCAGCTTGCATTTCCCTACATAAGAGATTATTTCCATGTAGGAAAATGATAATATATGTACCACCATATGTTAGGTATTCAAATACTCTATCCCTAGTAAATATGTTTGTATTCCAGTCCTTGAATCTATTGCTTTAGAAAAGGTTATTAAATGACAATTCATACTGTTGTAGACTAATTTAAGTAATCACTAGATCACTAGATTTTCATGCAAATTGGGGACAAAAGTTCTCCTCCTCCCAGTTTGTGGAAGTGGGATTGAGAAGTGAAGCATCAAATTGCTGAGAGCCACTTGAATCGCAGGTGGAACTGAGATTCTGACCTAACTCTGTCAATAATTTACCTACCAGGTATGGTAAATACTCGCTGTTAGAAAATGTTCACATTGGGTCAGAAAGAACATGCTTACTAAGCCTTTGCAATTCTCTGTTTCTTAGGCTGCATCCTAACCCCACTAACATTGGAATAAGCCCCACTGAATTTAGCAGAATTTAATTCTGAGTAGATGGTTTAGGATGGCACTGTAGGGTATGCTCTTGCCCTGTAGCTATCCCAGGAGCATGATATGCTAAGGATTGCAACCAGGGGACTTATTTATTACTTCATTGACCTCATTTTATTTTTATATGTGTTCCTCTAAGTGTTTTTGCTTGAATTTTTAACTCTATTTAACTCTATTTCAAAATATAATTCCAGGAAGAAGAAAAATCCGAAAGCTATCATTAGATTTGACATCTCTGTAATGTTGGAAACATTTGCTGAGTAGAATTTCTCAGACTGTCAGACAACTTTTGAGAAGTTAAGTTATAATTGACCTGGAAATGAAAATTATTTTAGGAATATTGGATGTGAGCCAAAGGAAGCCTATACTTTCCAAGAACACTTTCCTAATCATTCCATGCACAAAGCAATTCTAGGCATGTCTACTTGGAAGTAAATCCCACTGAGTTAAAGGAGACATATTCTCAGATAAGTGTGCTTTGTGCTGTTGCCCAAACTTTCAGCCTGTCTATATATATTCAAAATGCAGG